AATATTTATTTACAGCTGAGGCCAAAAATTTGGAATAGATGCATATAAAATTTTGCATTTTATCAATATGTACACATTAATTTTTCATTACATATACTACAGCAGTGCTAGTTAAAAAAATTCTCTACAACTGTTATGGTAAACAAAAACATGAATAGAATTTTCTACTTGTTTATTTCAATAGAAATTAAGTCGAAAAATTGAACAATGATTTAAATAAATTAAGATTACACATGCATTTTTTTTTTTTTTTATCAAACTAGGTATTTTAAATTGTACTATGTTTCTAGTAATTTTAATAATCAATACAGAAATTAATATGTGTAGTTTAAGTCCCATGCTTATAATTACTTTTTTGCCAAATGAAAAAATTATCCTTAAATCTAAAAATAACTGGTTTTTAGAAGTAAACAAAAATAAAAAGTCAATTACAAGTAAGCAAATTTTCTAAACATACCTGCAGAATTAGATTTAAAATTTTGATCTACATACATTTCTTATAATCAACATTGCAGTGAATTAATACAGAAATATATATGGTTATTAATATAGTAATAACCATTTTTATTCTAATAAATTGGATCTTAAATATCAAATATAATTTGCAGATCTTTAAATTGAACTTATAGCCTAATATTTAAAATACTTTTTTATTGTATATTTCTTAGAAGAGCTAATATTTTAAAATTTACAGAATTACATAAACTTACATATTAAAAACAATATATGACTAAGGTTTTATGACCAAAATATTAGTTAAGTTATTTTAGTAACTATAGAAAGCTTAAAAAAGTTCAAAACTTTAATATTAAAAAACTCAAACATTTTCAATAAACCAAGATGAAATTTCACTTTGTATTAAATTTTTTTAAAATTAAGAAGTTATATTGAAAAAAGAAAACAACTGAATGCCAACTATAAAAATTAACAATCAAGTTAGAANTTATATTGAAAAAAGAAAACAACTGAATGCTGCTGACTATAAAAATTAACAATCAAGTTAGAAACAAACTAACTTTATTAGTAATTAATATTTGATAACAAATAAGTGTCTAAAAATTAGGTTAATTAAGTATTTCAATAAAAAATATTAACTGAAATATGCTAAAGGCATTTACAAGAAAATATTAATATTCATTAAACTTTAATGCAATTATCATTTGAAATAATGTAGATGTTTTCTTTACTACATCCTTGGTTAAATTATCATCAACTGTACAGGAATAAAATAAGATTATACTCATTTTATGATAGGTAGTGAAGTGAAACTTCTTATAATCAGCCTGAAGAGTCTCAAGAAGGTCAAAGCATTTTTAACCAATCTTTACTTAATAAAAATTATTCTTTAGCATAATACTGTAGTTACATTTTAATATTTTATTTCAAATTAAAATACTTTAATCTGATTTTCAAACTAGTTGGTCTAAATGGATTTTTAATTCTTTTGGATTTTACAATTATATCAAATTAAATTACCTTAAAAATAGTTAACACACTGCTGCAAAATGTCATATTTCATTATATATTAATATGCTGATTAAATATATATTTTAAAAATCATATTTATTAGAAAAGTTTAAATGATTAATTTTAACTTATTTATGCTATTTCATAAAAATTAGCATAAAGCAAAAAAGTAAGGAATTAGAAAAAGCAGTTATAAAAACTAGTTTTAGTATTAACTTATTCAAATTAAGAAAAAAGATGTTGCTTTATTTAATATCATAAAATTGTCTATAATATTCATATTGGCTATAACATATTTAACATTTAAAATTATTTAAAATATTAAACTCAAAATTTGAAAAAGGATGCACAGAGGGGAAAAAAACCATTACAGAATTTGACCTTTTACCCAATATATAGCATCTATGATTAATTAATTTAATTTTATATGCATTTTTTTTTCTTTAAATCTACATTTGAGTTTTCAATTGCTTTATTGAGATGAATTATATAATTAACTTTTATAAAAATAAATGAAAAGATATGCATTCATACTGTAATTAGTATGTTACAAGAGTTTGTTTTAAAACTAATGAAATGACAAAAAAACTCAATTCTTAAATAATAGTTTGCATAATAAAAAATCCACTAACATTTTTTTCAAATTCTTACCTCAAAAGTATACATTAAAAAGCTTAATAAAGAATCCTTGAAAGCATTTATCATAAATAATACTTTAATATTATAAAATGGATTTCCTTCCAAATGATAATTATTCAGATTTTGAAATTGATTTTTATCTTTTATGTAAAAATATGCTTCCTTATAAAAGTATAATATATTTTTAACATCACATTGATTTCACTACATTTTCACAAAATTACAGAAAGCTCTATGAAAAGTTAATTATATATATATATATAAATACCTAAATATCTTATTAAATTAGCATATCAGATTTCCATATCCAAAAATTTTATCATTGTAATACATTTTTGTAAAATGAAATTAAAATATTCCATAATGCTAATTATAATTTAATTATAATTCAGTAAATCTACATTGTCCAATCCATATTTAGTTTCATTAATGGTAAATTAACAATGATCATTAAAGACCGGTTAATCCATTACTAACTTTCTTCATGAATAAATTATTTGAATAAAATTCAATATAAATATCAGAATATAAAATACATATATAGTACACCAGTTATATTAATCCTGTTCCATTTTGTTGTTAGTGATTTTGATAAACTAATCCTGAGAACTTAATATAAATATTAAGAGATTACTAGACAAGATCTAAATATATTCCATATAGATAAATATAAAGTTTAACTATAGTTAGATATCACTACTTCAAGATGTTTGCTTTAAGTTAACAGTGGATAACACTTTGGGGAAATGCTTTTTGCAAACTATTACTCATATATGCATCATTATCACGCATGCATTAGATTAAAATCTATATATATATAATTGAATTATAAAATATTTTCAAATTTAATACAGATGTACTGTACTGTACAATATGAAAATTATTAAATATAAAAATGTTAATTTTAAAAGTGCAAATAAACAAGTTTCATTATATAAAGAATATTACAAAGCAATTTTATATATAAAGATTATTATAAAGCAATTTTTATAACAAAATTAGAAACCTAACTAAAATATTTTAACAATGATAAAATTAATTATTGCTAATTTTCAATTATTTATCTACTGTTCTATATTTGTATTTCAAGAGGAAGTCATGAAGTTTTTTGATCTAGTATTAATCAGTATGGAGGATGTATAAATTAGTCATTTAAACTAATTCATAGACTACTAATGCTATAAAATAATCTGTACTCTGAAACTGAGCCAAAAAAATTCAGTTTACAACATATGTTGACTTCCAAAACTGAAAAGGTTGAATTATTCAATGTCTTTAGTCTGTTTCCTCTATTATAACAATTTTCTTCATACTGATCAGCAAGAACCAATATACTTATATTTTCACATCAATAAAATTTTAATTAGAATAAGATAGACCATTTCTGTATAATTTTTCATTTACTATATTTAAAACATTAAAATATCCTTCAAAACATAAAATAGTTATATATACTAAACAGTGTGGTCTGATAAAGTATTCATCCACCAAGAGAATACAAATTTGAAGTAAATGCATTTTATTAAAATGAAATCTTGTTTAAATTAATTTTTCAAATAGAGATTACAAAATTAAAAATTATTAGTCCAATATTTTAGCCCATTAGATAAATTAACATATGTAAGAATTTTCATAAAAGCATTTGTTAACATCCTTGAGTTTTGATGTGGGACTAATCAACAATTAGTATTAACAAGCATGAAAAACAGTTTATATTTGCAATATTTCCCCAATCATCATTAAAATATTTATACAAAAAAAATAATTTCCCTCTCCAATTAGAATTACATAACTAATTTTCAGTTTAAAACTTAAAATAAAAATTTAGAGTTTTTATATAAATATTTATCTTGGAGGGAAAAAAATAAAATAAAATTTAAAACAATAGTCATAAATAAGATTTTAGGTAATTTATTCTTTCCATAATTATTATATATTATAAAAATTCATTCAATTTAAGTTATATATGGTTAAACAATGAAAACATAAGAGATTTATCAGTTTCCTAATTCACAAAAATACTAAAAAAAAACAATATAAATCAAGTCGAATAAAGACTAATCTCCAGTCAAGAAATCTTTAAATTTCTTATCAGATAACTTAAACAAGATTAAAATGTCAGCAGAAATCTGATATTTGTCCTATTTACTTCCAGTTCTTTTTTCTTAATTAATGAGGAAATGCTTAATTCCTCAATCGGACTTATTCATTTTATAATTTAAACAAAATTTTAAAAATTTACTTTTTAAATTATTAAAATTATAAAAGTTTAATTCAATTTCATTATTTAAAATTAATAAATTCTACGAAATTACATTAAAAAAAAAAAAAGGAAATGCGGGGGTAGAGAAAGGAAAATAAATTGCTTAATTTCATTTAAAAACTGGGCTTATGAAATGCATTTTATTATATGGATCTTATTGTATAAATGGTTACATTTTTAATCATTTGTTTAGTTTATTATAAATAATAATAAGGATATTTTCGATCGCAAGCAGTTTAGATCAAAGTTCATTTTGTGCATTAGAATCCATTAACTTTCTGAATTCATTCGGCATTCGAGTAGCTCGTCGAATAGAAATTTAGAAAAGGAAAAAAACTTGCGGAAATCTACAAAAATTTGCAACACACAAATGTTTTAAATTAATCATTTCGAGTTAAGATTAAAGAGATGGTCGGATTTATCCCGTATCCGAGCAAAATACCTGTAATTACGTTTAATAATTAATTTTTTTAAACGTAAGTAGCACATTTGCATGAAACGAATCCACCCAATTTGTTCGATAGAACAGATGCGGATGTCGGTAGCTTCTCCGAAGCAGATATTGACGCCCATTCATTAAATATGGAAAGAATCAATAGGTAAAAAAATAAGAAAAAAAGGGGAAACTTACACCAACTCATTCCAGTTCTCCCTAGGCATTCTTTCGTATCGGAATTCCATAAAAATTGTTTACAACCTTGCCATTTTGTCAAATTAGGTTGTGGCTTACTAAACGGTCCTTTATCATCCGCCATCGTTGATCTTCTTCGAAGAAAAGCGAAGAGATAGAGAGAGAACAGAAGATCAATTCGTCGCCTACTTTCCGACTCAAGATCGACCAAGAAGGAAGGTGCCCGGATGAGAGAATGGTCGAGCCTGCGCAGTAAGTAGCTGGAATCGCCAGACGGCGCTATCGTATCTCCCGCATCCGGGATCGGGATGCGGAGTCTTATTTACTTCATATGTTTTCGGGAGAGAAACAAGAGTATTGCCTTCTTTTCTCACTGTTGGCATTTAAATAAAAAAAAAATTAATTTTTCTTTGCCTAAACGGATTCTGTGAAATATCCTTTACGGTAATTTTCTAATAAGGTGTTAATTCGTATTTCTATTTTTGCATTAAGTTCTTTATGAAAATGTAGAATTGAATGGTATTATTGTAATTTTGACGAGGATAAAATTACCTTTTTGAATAATTGTAAAATTATTTAATGGATTGATTTCTCCATTAAAAATATTTACTATTTTCCGCATAAAAAATTTTTAGTAAACAAATACTATTAATAATTTTTTTTTTATTCTTGTAAGACTTAAATACTTAAATTTTATATTCTGTACTAAAAGTTATCGTTTGTATTATGATGTAGCAGTTATTGTATTTCCTTATATTCAGATTTTATTATGATTTTTCGAATTAAAATGTTTTCCTCAATTGTTGAAATGTTTCATTAATTTACTTATTTTTCAATAGTAAATAACAAAATATACAAATATAAAAATCAGGTTGACAAAATATTTTGCAATATTACTTGTAAAACATATTGAAATTTATGTAAAATATATCTAATATTTTATTTTTAATAAAAACATACGATTTCGTAAAATAAAATTCAATAAAAAAAATTCATATTCCGCAACGAATGGATAAAAACGGACCATTTAAATGTCTATTATGAAATACAAATTATAGAGAATATGATGATAATATGGTATTATTACTGAACATCAGAAAATATATCCTTGGAATCAAAATTGCAATAAAAATGTTAAATATTAGCAAACACCTTGAGTATGTGAAGCAATATTTTAAGCAATGTAAAAATTTAAGCTCTTTAAATACTTTAAATATTTTCCTTAATAATTTCTTAGTTTAAATTTTTAAGCTCGGGAAGTATTTTAAGATAAGTCGTACAAAAACAACAAAGACAATAACATTTTGAAGGAGATAACAAGTTAAGGAAAATGTCGGTTACTTGTATTTCAAAATAACTTGGAAACATGTCCTAATTTAATTTATAATTTCTTTGGATGTTAAAAGATAATAATAAATGCAAAAATCGCTATTGAGATTAATATTTTATTGTGAAAAATAATTTTAATATCATAACTCAATATTTTACAAGGAACTTTATTATTATACAAGTAAGCCCCTACAGCACACAGTAATACATTTTCCTAGAACGACTTTTGGCAATATTCCAACTTGTCCGCCTCGGGCAGCCTGTTGCTTATGATGCTTCTGCAACTTTTAAGAACTTACCACTTTACCGGTAATTTAAGTATAAGCATAAATTGATTTTTTTTCTCTCACGTGAAAATTTTTTCGATATCTGTTTCAAAAGTAGATAGGCTATCTACAAAATTTTCGATTTTTTTACATTAAATATTAAACTGAATACTGTGAATTATTTAATTTACTGTTTTTCCGATGGCGTAATTGAATATGTCACGCCCTTTTATAGTCCGTCATCAAGGTAAACTGACGGACCTCATTAATGTAATATCAACTGGTTCAGAAACGTGCCATTCATAATATATAATCTGTCCAATTTCTAAGTCACATTAGAATTTATGCCAAAGAATTGGATATATTTAGTGCAATTTTTTAATAAGCAAAGGAAAAAAAAATTTAATAAATAATTTAAATGCCAAAAATTAGCCTATTTTGGTTAGAAAATAAAATGTTATTCATTATTTCTTTATAAATAATATGTAAATTCGTGTTTTTTAACGTCATTAATTTTGTACATTTCATCGTTGTGTAAGTGTAATGACGTCATTTAACGATATATTATCTAAACTGTTGTTGACGAAGCACGTCATTCGTGCTAGTTTACATCTATATTATATAATTCTCATTTAAGTTTAGTGTAAAGTGTGGAAACCATTTTTAAAAGCATACAAAGAAAACTTTTAAAACAATTTAGGGTAAAAGAATCTGAAGACTTCTAGACGTGATGTCTAGAAGCCTTCACAATGACGTAATTTACAAGAAACGTCATAGGACGTCATTCCAAAGTTTATATTTTAAGCTTTTGGATGGTTTTCATTTCACAAAATCAGAATCGAGATGAAATGAACGTTTCTTATTTATTTATTTCACTGTTGCTGCCGGTATTTAACTAAAGCTGTTTAACGATGACACAGCAATTACTAGATAATAGTTTTTAATTCAGAGTTTTTTGCTTCTTTTAGAATAAATCCTTTTAAATGTGATGACTTAAAACGGCCTAACACGTCTTGCTTGTATTCACTCACTGCTAGAGATGCCACTTTCCGACTTCAATAAATCCGAACACTAATCCTAATATTAGAAGAAAAGTCACAAAATAAAATGCTATTATTCATATAATTATTGGTAATATCAGTTGTTTGATAACGGATTTTAATTAACCAATTATACAGACCATTTTCTCGTGAACTACTATCAAATGTAATTAAAATAGTAACGGGCTTTGAGTAACCAATTATACGGGTCATTTCGTCGTGTAAACAACCATTCGGCGGCGCCCGCAGGCTATAAAAAAGGGGGGACACAAGCTATTAAAAAATAGGCATCGTACGTACAGTACATTACATAAAATTTACAGTATATATATATATATATACTGTAAATTTGTCGTCGGGTTGCCCTTTTCTTAATCCCCAAAGAAGCTCTAAGGTTCCATTATATATATATATATATATATATATATATATATAAATCTATTAAAATTTTTAAAAATATAGGAAAGGTTCCGTTCATAAATTCGAACGCCGAGAAATATAAATTCGGAACGCCGAATAACTGGAAAAA